GAAGTGGAAAAAAAAATGTTTAAAAAAAAAGGTGTTACCGTTCAAAATGCAAAATACAATTATTTATTCAATAAAACCCTGCAAAACAGAAAAAGTACACGATAAAAGTGGAATATTTTTGCCTTGGACTGAAAATTTTCTTTCTTGATCCTAACAGATTGGTGTTTTAAAATGGTCCCAAACTTATGTTTATATTAGTTACCTGGACAAACAGACTTGTTTCTATAAAAGACAGGCTTTAAATTACTTATGATTATTATTATTCTTACTTATTTTCAGAATAAAGGTTACAAACAGTCCTTAAAAAAGGGGACACTGTAATTGCCCTGAAACGCGTTAGCTTTACGCCTCTATGAACAAAAGCATATTGCAGATCAAGATTGATCCGCCTGCCTTATGTCATTATGCTTTATGCCTTATGCTCCAACTTGTAGTTGAGTGCTCGCTATACTGATTTCTAAATTTTTATGATTGTCTGTATCCCTGTTGGGGAGCTTTTCCCTCCGTTCCTATGTCTATGACAACATAATATCAGTACAGAAAGTGCAACCCAACAGTAAACAAAAAAAAAAAACAACAACTGGAGAAATTATTTTTACTTAAAAGAGAACTATGAGGTGAGTGATTTCCACTCATCCTCGTAGTTAGAGCCGACCTGTGACAAAGAAGCTGTCACAGGTCGGCTCTATTGGTTGGGAAGTGAGCAGAAACATGCCACCGATCCGCTCACTTCCCGATCATCTCAGTCTGTCAGTCACCACTCCCAACAGGGATTCCCCCCTCCCCTCTCTAATCCTCCAGCGCTGAGTGGAGGAACAAAAGGGCGAGGGGGTGGGCACAGCTGGCTCTACCTCTAGATAGGCAAAGCCTGCTGTCACTCACGCAGCTGGGTGGATCTCAACAGTATTGTCGGGATCTGTCCCGGCTGTGGCGGTCTCAGTATATTGGGGGCAATGTAAATTTCAGGATTTTCTAATTACGTCTACATGTCTTCACTAATTGGTGTTTATATATGTGCCCAGAGCAAAGGCTGCAATAATAAAATTGCTCCATGGCAGTTTATGCTTCTGATACCACTGACAGGGCCATGAGGAAGGTGTCACTGTAGAAAGTCCATCAGAATGTGCAACACCATCGTTTGCCTTTGTAATGGATACAGACCTTGGCCATGGATAGGGAGATCGTCACCGGAGCGCTCACAAAATCAATCATTGTTTCAACAATTAGCCAAATCAGAATTAATTTGCCATTTTGAAAGCGGTCTTGGGTTTGGCTAGGGAATCAGTTACAATAAAGACCATCAGCCCATCCAAAACCTTTACCTCTCCAAGTTTTCTAAGCAAGCACAAACGTCTTTGATCAGCATCTATATATATCCTTTTCTTCTGTTTTTGCTTTTATACACAATTCTGCCTGAGGAGGGGACTCATTAACCTGAAAGCTTTCACTGATATTTCTAGTTTGGCATTAGTAATGTAAAGTTCACAATGAAAGCAAAATATGTTTATTATTGTATAAAAGAGTGAATGCAACAGATACATAGGAGCATGTTTTGCTTTTCTGTATTTTCTGGTGTACTCTGGGTTCTGGCTTGCCCTTTCAATTAAAAAGCTGGACTTTGGTCCAACTGAAAAGCCTTGGAAGGAGAAACAACCCCACATATGAACAGAGAAATTGCAAAAAAAATGGATAAAATTCAAACAGACACGGTTAATTTGCACCCTTTCCCCAGTAAGGTCTAGCCATTGATCCATAATCCCTCGTCATCTTCCCTGAGTAATCCTCCTCCTGGAGGGGGGCTACTTTTGTTACCCATGGTCACTGTGTGTGTTGCAAAGTAGACACCGCTCAAAATTCTAGGGCTGCAACCAACTAATCAATAATGAGAATAGTTGTCAAACTATTCTCATTATCGATTAGTTGGTGTGGACAAAATCAGCCAATGTGATTTGTCTGGATTTGTTTTCTCATTTTGTCTCTCATAGTTGAGGTCTACCTATGATGATTTATATTATAAAAAAATATTTTTATTGTGTTATTTTAATTTACATTTTGGTTATTTTATTATATTGGCTTGGAGTTTTTAAATTTAGAATATTTTGAATCCATGAAACTAAAATGCCTAATATTCTACATTCAATTATTAAAAAATAAATAAATAATAGTTAGTTGCAGCTCTACCAAACTCGCTCCTGTGATGGACTACAATCTAACATTTAGTTTATTAACCACTTGCTGTCCAGGGCAAATTTCTAACTATTTGCATACACATTATAAAATATAAATCTTTGGCTAGAAAATAGCTTCAAACCCCCAAACAATGATAGATTTTCTGAAGGCAGAGGCTCTGTAGAATAAATGATAGCTGCAATTTTTTATGTTGCAAGGTATTTACGCAAATGTTTCTCAACGCAGTATTTTTAGGATAAAATACACTAAATTAAAATGTACTGCACAGAAACAGAATATAATACCCAATTTTTGGGTAAAATATAAAAGACGGGGTCACGTTGGGTAAATAGATACCAAACATGTCAAGCCATAAAATTGCGTTCACATGTGAAGCTGCAAAAAACTTCAGTACCCTAAATTTCCCATAGGGAACATTTTAAACACTTTTATTGCTCATCAGTTCAGTGTTACCATGATTAATGGCTCTAAAATTATTGTTCTCACTCCAATGTTCACGGCAATATGTAACATGTGTAGCACAATTGTCGTTTTCGCACGCAGGCGCACCGACGCGTGTGTATGTGCGTGCACGTGGGGGGCAGGGACTCTAAAAACATTTTTCATTTTTCTTATACGTTACTTAAATTTGTTTTGTTTTTTTTAACCACTTGAAGACCAGGTGTTTAGACCCCCTTCCTGGCCAGGCTATTTTTCAGTATTCAGCGCTGCGGTACTTTGACTGACATTTATTCTGTCATGCAACGCTGTACTGAAATTAATTTTATATCGTTTTTTGGGGACAGATAGAGCTTTCTTTTGGCTGTATTTGGCGGTACTTATTCAACACTGGGGGTTTTATTTTTTGCTATACTAAAGGAAAAATGATTGAAAAAAAAAGTTTTTTTAACATTATGTTAGGAAACAATGATTATGACCCATATTTTTGGTAAAATATAAAAAAGAGGGGGGGGGTCACGTCGGGTAAATAGACACCAAACATGTCAAGCTTTAGAATTGCGCGCACCCGCGAAATCGCCAAAAACTACCACAGCCAAAATTGACCATAGGTGACGCTTTAAAAGCTTTTACCGCTCATCAGTTTAGTGTCATCAGTGATTGATGGCCCTAAAATTATTGCTCTCATTCCGACAATTGCGACGATATGTAACATGTGCGGCGTAATGGGAGCAATTGCATGTATGCGCACCCAAGGAGCGCATGTTTGGATGCGTGTTATTATGGGTGGGACTTGAACATTTTTTTTTATTATTATTCTTTTTAATGTGTAAATTTCATAATTTTTTGGGGGGGAAACTTAAATTTTTTTTTCCTATTTTTTTCCCACTTAACTTAATTGCTATCACATACGGGGCTAAGAAACCCCTCTATGCGATAGCAAAAGATGTGACAGGTCTTCTTTATGGAGACATCGGGGTTCTCCAAGACCCCTAATATCACCTAGTACCCCTCAAAGAAGCTGATGAAGCAGAGATCTGCTTCATCAGCTTCTCTCCAGCATCTGAAGCTGGAGAGTGAGACAAGAGTACAGAAGAGTACAGAAGTGATGTAACTCTGACAGCGGAGAAGGGACGTGAGGGCGATCGTGTACTGATCTTCATCTGATCCCCTGTCCGAGAGGCACTATGCTGGTCCCGGGCTCGCACCGGGCACAGCGGAGCCCGGGACCAGCGTGACCGCAGGAGTGGGGGACCCACATACCGGGACCTCATATAAGCGATCCGTTGACTCTATAGCCGGCGGATCGCTTGTATGTTAACAGGCATCACTGCCCGTTTTGAAATTTTAGGACCTTCCCACTCCCATGCGAGAAGGGGCGTGGCTGCGCGGACATCTAAAGACGCCCGCTCAGATCTACAGAGCTCCCGGCCGGCCGTTTTTTTACACTTACCTTATTGCTATCACATAGGGGGCTAATAAGCCCTTCATGTATTAGCAGATAGGGTGTTACAGGTCCTCTTTATGGAAACATCAGGGTTCTTTCAGACCCCTAATGTCACCTAGGGACCCCAAAGAAGCTGAGGAAGCAGGGATCTGCTTCCCAAGCTTCTTCTCCTGGCTCTAAGAGCCGGGGAATGTAAATAGTGACACCGGACGTAATGTAATACACATCACTTCTGGGTCCAGTGAACGGAGGAGAGATCAGCTGCTGGAAGCGGCTGAATCTCTCTCCGATCGTTGTGGGGAGACCCGCTGAGCCGGTCATGGGGACAGCGCTGCTCGGTACAAACGATCCAAAAGTAGTCACCCTCCACAAGGAAGGACAGTGTCAGCACCAATTCAGAGATGATTTGAGGATCTACAGCTGAGAGATACACAAATAAGATACATTTTGTTAACAGTTAAGGTCCTTGAATGTATTTAACTCCTGAGTTTAGTGTTATTTTAAATATCGGTTTATAACAGTTATTAAGGCTGCAGTATATCTTCAAAGAAATATGTTGTTGTAAACATTGCTTAGATCTTGGCGATTTGGTCACTTTGCATTCTGCAGTTGAAGCTGTAGAAGGACGATGTTCCGAGATACTTTATAGTGAAGTAAATCCCACCCAAGGCTCCCCATAACCTATCCTTCGCACACCTACACTGTGTGTAGGGTAAAAATAATAACCAAAAGTGGCACACAGGACTGAAGTGGAACCTAAAACAGGGTACCGTTAAAGACTTCCTAACCTTCTAAAACATTTATCACTGGAAAAAACAAAATGGAGTAGCCCATATGCCTCAGCCTTTTGCCTCAGCACAGTACTTGCTTACCTTCCTAAGATTAAACATTAGTCTACTGGGAAATTAGAGCAGGAAGCATTTACCTTGACTAGGCAGTGCTATGGATATCCACTCCAGAGAGACATGGAACCCACTCCCTTCAACATTCAGATCATCTTTTTCAATAGTCAGCAGAAGAACATCAATTATCTGTACTTCCTCCCGGACAAAGAGGATGCTGTGAAGTACAATGAATGGATCCCCGAGTTCTTGATTAAACCTGAGCTACAATATAAAACCAAGTTAGGAAGAAAGGTAAAGTCTGAAATTGATAGTTAAATGTCGTCAGTCACTTTCCCATTATCCTTTCAAAGAGTTTTCAAGGACAATTCAAGACTGAAAATTCAGCTTTTAGTAAGGTTAGCGTTTTTTTTTATTTAACTAAAGTAGATGTAAACCCAAAGTGAATGACATTAGGTTTGCTAAAGCACTGTGTATCATAATCAACTGTCATGTTTTTGAAGCAGGATACTTGCTTTAACTTTGTTCATCTCACATGGGTGCACAGGGAGCGTACGTGTAAAATTTGGGCATATGTTTCTGCACAGGAAGACAGAGGTGCTGTTTGGAAGATGTACATTGGTACTTTTTTAAACTTGCACATGCGCACAAATGTATCCCCCGATGCAGACGGTCTGCATTCGGGGTATACACTGAGTGGCCAGATTATTATGACCACTCCATCAGTACTTCGTTGGGCCGCGAGATTCATTCGTTGGGCCGCCTCGTGACTCCATGAGATGTTGAAAGGTGATGCGAGGAATCTGACACTGCACTGTTGCCCTTCTGTTGTCTTGTACCAGTCTTGCCACTCTCCGTTCTGCCCTAACATTGACTAGTCGCTGACGGCCACAATTTGCACGTTCAGACCCAGATTTTCGGCTGACAGTCCAGTCTTTAAAACACTTTAACAACAGCTGCTCTTGAACATTTAACAAATTCTGCTGTTTTACTGATACTCGCTCCATGGCTCAGAGCGCCAACAATCATCCCACGTTCAAAGGCTGTTAAATCGCGTTGTTTACCCGTATCTTCAGAAAACAATCACTTCTACTGTCGTGGTTAACAACCTGCTTCCCTATTTATAATGGTCTGGCCCTCTAGCAACTTCAGCGTGAAATTATAGCCAATTTGCCTACAAACGTCAGGTGGTCATAATAAACTGCCCACTCAGTGTACATTCATACATATGTGCAAGTTTACATTTTCTATGGGTGCTACTGCCACTGATGTCTATGAGCATCTGTATCCAGCACTTGTGGTTTCCCAGGATGGAAATATGCCCGAATTTTATGTGCATGGCCCCCATGCATCCGTGTACTTGCACATGCGTACAAATGTATGCCCCCATTCGGGGTATACATGCATACATATGTGAAGGTTTACATTTTCTATGGGTTCTACTGCCACTGATGTCTATGGGCCTCTGTATCCAGCACCTGTGCTTTTCCCAGGAGGGAAAATATGTCTGAATTTTTTGTGTATGGCCCCGTGTGTATGAAGCCGTATTGCACCTCAGTGCTGCTGATCTCTGAGGCTTCCCATCTATATGCACGCACTCCAGCAACAGCTGCATGGCATATCTCAGGGCGGGTTCTTGGCTGGTGTAAAGTGTGTTGAAATGGCCACTCGTAGTCTCCATTGGAAGCTTGTGTGACAGGGAGATAATGACAAAAAATGATAGACAGGGACAAAGCATTGTCTACCTAACAGGAAGTAGCTAAACAAGGGCCTTCAGGGCAGGATCACCAGGTATTTTTATGAAAGCTGCAGATTTAAAAACATTAAAGATGACTTTTGAAGTGAGATAAACATGTTATAAAGCTTATGAGACTTTCGTGTCTGGGTTTACATATACTTTATTATTTATTCAAAAAGAAAAAGGTTATTTAACAAAAACTAAAATAAACAGTAAGCAAGGAAATAAGAAAACATTTAAATTACTTGAATTCAGTACAAAGCTACACAGATTAAACATTCTTTTCAATATATGATCAGAACAAAAGGTTCAGAGTGCACGATAAGATACCAAAAAACAAACACGAGGAACTAACCATCTCTGTAGCTGTGTAGGTCTCTTGGTATGCTCACACAACCTTTTGCTTCCAATATGAGATTAGTCCACAACATTACACAATGTGGTGGGTACAAACAAGGATGAACAAACATGGTAGAAACAGCAACGCAGGATAAACCATGAACCGGCTGTTCCATTCATGCCCCCCCAATAATTACAGCAGCGGCCAAGCACACCAAATGGTAGCTTTTATCTTTCTATCCTGACCTCATGACTGGTTCCTTTAAATACCTGGAAGAACATCCCAGCAAAGGACACAATACAGGTGCCATTACAACACAAAGTACCACGTATTACCAAAAGCTGGATTTTTTGCATGGAATTGTTGTTTAAAGCCCAACTCCATTTCCACCAACCTCCTTCTGCCCTTGTATGCACAACATAAATCCAGCTTTCATCGACCAGTCACACGTCAAACTTCCTCCTCTGCTCTTGTTTTAGCAGTCCTCAATGAAGCAGAGGACTGCATTTACTTTATGACTTCAGTGCTGTACCCTGTGGCAGCAACTATGAGTCGAAGGCTGGCATAATAACGCATCCCCGGGAGTTACCCTGACAGTATGCTGGGTGTCATTCATTTCAGTAGCATCGCGGGGGGATGGAGCAGAGTGTCTGCAGCACCAGAGAGAAGGTGAGTATTACAACAAAAGCTGCATTTTTAAATTTTTTTAAAGTTAACCTGTCAGGGGTAAATACAATTACAATTGAAGCCCCACGGTGAAGAAAGAAACATTGTACTTCCGTGTCCGACAGCCTAGTCACTCTATAGCAGACCTTCTGATAGCCATACTAATTCATACTTCCGGATCTGTGGAATAGCATTTCCCCCGCTGGACACTGTGGTCGCTCCCACTGACCCAAACATCACTACTGTGTATGTCCTACAGTGACCAGAGGTCAGCAGGAGGAACCACAGATGCCTGTAGAAGCCTTCATATCAGATTGAAAAGATACACACAATACACAGTAAATGATGACCTTTATCTTCTGTCACACCAATATGGAATACACACCAAGGCCAATTTGTCCTTCATAATCTCATGCAGACAAATGGGGTAAATAAAAGCAGAATACTTACTTCCCATTTCCCGGAATGGTCAGCGTTTGCAATGTGAACTAGATATAGGGTGCCTGTCCCGTCAGATAGGGTCACCCAATCGGTCGATGTAAAGTGTATGGAGGAGCATAGACGCTTGTCACAGGCACTCAGGTCACTTGGAAATCTGAAAACTTCTATAGGTTTTCCTAAAGCTGTGTCCTGAAAGTGAAATACATTGTTAGGGGAACCCTCCAGGAAAGTTAACAAATTTAGCAGAGATTACATACAAAGAGACACAACTTTCTCAGCACAGCATGGCTCAACCCCTCTTCACTGTGTTCAATGCACTGGTTCCACTTAAACTGCTATATATTATATCTGTACAAAATAAGTCAAGGCAATAAGTCGTCCAACCAGCTTTCTCAATTCAGTATTGAGAAAACTGGTTGGATGACCAGTGAAACGTCTTCAAGAAAAATACAGCAGATCCAGTTGCCTTGACTTATTTTTTACAGATATACCATGACCTGATGAATGAGAACCTTCACAGACATGCTATATATTATATTTACATTTTTTTACAGAGCAAAGTGTAAAGCCTTAGCATTTTACTGCTTTACATTGTACAAGGTAAACCAAAACCAGAAGTTCACATACAGACCATTTTTCTTTTATTCCGTGTCTTTGTGCATGCATATTTTTAAAATGTAAGAAATATTTTTAATTTTTTTTTTTTAAATACCCCACTTTCCCACACTTCTATTGTCGTTCAAAGATTCAGTTTGGATTTGATAAGTTATACAAATGCACCACACATTAATAAGTCGCTTATACTGGGTGCAGCATTACCCCGTATGTGTGTTATTTGTTAGCAATGCAACTTATATGGCCCATAATGGAGCACATTTTGGCATCAAATGGTATTCTGGCTCCATACTCACACTTACTCCAGCAATCTGGATGCATGCACTACTTTTTCCCCACCTCCCCGTAATGCACAGTATTGCAGTACCAAAACATAGTGCCGCAACACACTGCAGCTGGGAGGTGCGCTGGGGTGCTATTTAAAGGAGTAGCAACACACCAAGAGCACTGTACTGCACACTAGTAACACAGTGTGATAGTGTGGGCTAAATGCACAGTATTACGGGTATTAGGCTGGGTTCACACCTAGGACGTAAGGAATATGCGCGTTTGCCGCGTGTTTTTACTGCGATTTGCGGGCTATCCGAGGGCTATCCGGCTGTATCCTAATGGATACGCGCGGCAAATACGCCCCAAAGAAGCTCCTGTACTTCTTTGGGCGTAGGGCGTTTTGCAGCGTGTTTTGCAGCGCGTTCCTACGCGCTATAAAACACCCAGGTGGGAACCATGCCCATTGGCAATCATTGGTTTTCACATGTTGAGCGTTTTACAGCGCGTAGGAGCATGCTGTAAAACGCCCAGGTGTGAACAAGGCCTAAAGCAATGCTTCGCAGTGAATTGGCCCTCTTAGGTGGACTTCACGGACCATCTGAAAAACAATCCACTGTTGATTGCTTTTCAAAGGTGGGTGAGCAGCGGTTTGCAGACTTTCATAAGGCAATACAGACGCCTCCTGAAAAAATGGAGGGTGGTTACTTTTGTTCCCCGTGGTCCCTGTATGTGTTATGAAGTAGCCACCGCTCCAAGCTCACTCCCGTGATGGACAACAATCTCATGTTTAGTTTACTAATTTGTACTGAGATTGTAGTCCATCATGGGAGTGAGCTTGGAGCGCTGGCTACTTTACAACACACACAGGGACCATGGGGAACAAAAGTATCCCCCCTCCAGAAGGAAGGACAGTGTCAGCACCAATTCAGAGATGATTTGAGCATCTACAGCCGAGTGATACACAAATATGATACATTTTTGCTAATTGTTAGGGTACTTGAATTTATTTTAAGATTTAATTTAGTGTCAATTTAGTTGTTATATTTGCTTTCAAGAGTCCTCCCTTAAACCCAGGCAACAAAAATGCAATATACTGGAGTTTATGTGTCCCTTGGTGAGGTTGCTGCATTTGTTTACCTTTTCTAGGCTTTTTCCTTCATTTTTACCATGTGATCCTTCTAGTAACACACTTCCTGTCTTTGAGTGACAATGTTCATCATCGCACTGTATCTATGGAAGAGCAGCATTGTTAACCTAGGACAGGAAATTTCTTAGGACTACAGAACTCCTCTCCTTCATGACATGGGTGAGGTGTTCTGTAGTTTACAGATGAGAACTGGGAAACCAAAACATCATTGTTTGAGATTTCAGTTCAAGTTACAACAACGCTGGATTTTTGGCAGAATTGACAGGTATGTTTCTGTCCTGGCAGAAAATGTACTTAGCCTGAAAAAAAACGAAACCAATGCCACCGCCACATTTAAAAAGGAGAACTGTGAGGCAAGTGCTTTTCACACATCCTCATAGTTCTAGCTGACCTGTGACAATGAAACTGTCACAGGTCGGCTCAGTAGATCGGGAAGTGAGCGAACACATACCGGCGTTCGCTCACTTCTCGATCCTGTCACGGCAGAGAGCCGTGACAGGGGAGGGGCTGGATTCCCCCTCCCCGCTCCGATCCTCCAGCGCTGACTGGCAGAACGGACGGGGCGGGTACAGCTGGCTCTGCATCTGCATAGGCAGAGCTAGCTGTCACTCACGCAGCTGGACGGATCCAGACATAATTGTCGGGATCCGTTTCAGCTGCCTAGTCTCAGTATACCGTGAGCTGTAACTCCCGGTATACTTAGCTTAGGGTGACGGGAGGACGCTAGTTTGTGTCCTCCCGTTACCCTTAGGAGAACTATGGGGAAGCCCTAACCACATAGTTCTCCTTTAAAGGAACAGCAAGCTGCAAGATATTACTTTTTTTTTTGTTCTTGGACTTGCATGCACTTTGATACGGAGTTTAGTTGAACCATCGTAGGCTACACATGAACATAAACCTGCCTTAAGACAGAAGGAATCAATAAGTCGCTGCGCAGGGATCATCAACTGATCATTACATAACGTATAGTTAGGAGTTCTATACAAGTTTATTTTCCAGGGACATGCACAAACAGCCACTGTCACCAGAGGCTCCCTCTAACCTCTCCTGTCACTCTGTCATCCTTGAAATCGGACCAGAACGTTTTAGGACATTTCAAGCCGAATGTTAAGGTTTTATTTTCTTACCAAAAATAAGAAACTTCAAACTTTTTCCTTTGTCTTCAGTAGAATATGATAGTTATAGATTCCTCTGAAACTGTGCGCCATAAGAACCCCAATATTACATTCCTCTGAAACTGTGCGCCATAAGAACCCCAATATTACATTCCTCTGAAACTGTGCATCATAAGAACCCCAATATTACATTCCTCTGAAACTGTGTGCCATAAGAACCCCAATATTACATTTTATCTGCTCTATGAATGGATATTATTAGAATGTATTATTCCACAACAAGAATCATTATTGTAAAAAACAAACAAACATAAAAAAGGATCTTTTTTCTCATTTCACATTCCTGTAACTTAAAGTGGGCCCTTACCCCTTTACCCCCATTCAGCTCTGCACGCCGATATGAAATCATCTTACATTCATCAGCTAAACAAACATATTTTGTTGTTAATTACAATTTGTTTTTTCCACTTCCTGGTCCTCTTGGGCATTAGGGATGTAATCGTGCCCAAGCGATGCATCCTGGGAAGGTTACGTCAGCAGAGCATTGCAGGGAAGTGCGGTCAGGTGAGACACCCCCCACCGCGCCACAAGAAGGAGGAGTCTCCCTATCCCTCACTTGCCCATCACTGAAGAGGCATCTAGATGGATAATATATAATAATTGTTTTTTTCTTCCTTTCTCCCCTTTATAAGGGCTGGCTGGTGTTGAACGATAATGTAAATTGTATATTTATTAGCTGTGCTAAAACTGGTAATGTATTTCTTCTTGTTTTTCTTTTTGTGTAATTGTATTTAAAAATGCAAGAAAGTGAATAAAAAGTTGATTAAAAAAAAAAAAAAAAAAAAAATGGCAAGCTGTCAGTGTTTTGTTTTTCTTTTCCTTTTTGATTTGACAGCTCGGACCAATGGTGCTTTGCCATTGGTCCAAACCATCCACAGAGCTCAAGCCTCTGATTCTACGTCAGAGGCTGTTGTAGCTCTGGCTTCACTGTGTTAGGTTGCACGCAGCAGCAGGGAAGCCCACCGCTGTGTAACTCAACATAGCTGTTAAAAGCCGGATGAAGCGCCACCTGTAATTAACAGGTCGGCAGTACGTCCATGACAAGTCACACAGCAGGGAGGGCATAGCAGGGAGGGCATTACAGGGTCTGGGCATTGCAGCCGCACAGACTACTATGAGGCTGTCTTCCACCTTTTCTCCTCATCTTTGGATCCAGGACATAGTCTGATAGAAGTCTATGGGGCAGTAATGTGTTGGCATGGCCAGGACAAAAAGACTTGCGGCACTGGATGTAAACAACCATTGTAGGCCGCGGACTATAATGGCCCTTTATAACAACTCCTAACTTCCACTGTATTTGTCATTTTGACCATTTATATAGTAAGATCAATCCACCTTTCCCCATAGTTGGGATTCTTCCATGCCCCTTATTCCTTCAGTTGCCCTCCTGTACAGTGTCCTCATTGTGACACAGGGAAGAAAAACTTACTACTGCAATGTGTCTGCCTGCATAGAATAATTATATCTCGCTCTTCATAAACTAGTGAGCTGCAATCTCATGCCTCCTGGCTAACAACAGAACGCAGCTGTTTCTACCAAGAACAAGGGAATACAAACTCTCAAAAGTAATAATACTATAAAATAATTTGGAACTTCTCAGAACAGAATATAAATCAGAGCTGAAGTCCGGGGAAAAAAACAAAAACGAAACGAAAAACTGAAATACATATAACGAGGCTAATGGTAGAATACCTCTGTCCGTCTAGTCTTGAGATTTACACAGTCCTGCCAGTGAGCAGAGCCAGGATGATGACCTGATTATTATCTACTGTGGTTAAGCTACACAGCCTGGTCACTTATATGCCCTGTTAGTGGACAGTAAAACAGCAGCGGACTGATTATGTTATCTCTATGCACATTCCTCCTGTCAGCATGTTCCTTGTCAGCTCATGTGCATGTAGCGCACCTCATTGGCCTCAATTAGAGCTCCTCCTTCTTGTAGCCTGGGCGCTTCTGTGCAGGAGACTGCAAGAGGCTGACAC